TTGTACTATATCAAAGATTAAGCTAATAAAAACCAACTGGCATTGTCGCCAAAGTTCAAAAAAAAAAAAAAAAAAAACATTTTATATATTTTTATATATATAATTTTTTAAAAATAAAATTAAAAGCTAGATTGCTAGGCTACCAGATTATTTTAAAAATTTTGTTATAAGATCTAATTTATTAAGATTAAATATATTAAACAGGTTATGTTCAGTGTATATTTTCTAAATTAGATATAATATTTATTATTAAATTTTGTATAATTTGATTTTACCTTTATTAAATTATATTATTTATTTTTAATATAAAATGTAATTATATAGAATACTCTTTTAAAATTATATTATTTTATAATTATCATATTTGTATATATATGCCTAACTATGTGATTATAGAGGAGAATAACTGTATTAGCTTTATATTATTGAATTTAAAGATTATATATAGCTGCAAATAGTTTAATTATTAAAGTTTTTCTTTTTTTAGTTATATTCTATAGATATTTTCAAGTTTTAAAGTTTAATAATTTTTGTAAAAAATAAACATTTTTGATAAATCTAATTTAAACAGCAAAATTAGATTTAAAAACTAATTCTATTGTTATAAATTATAATGTCTAGAAGGCTATTAAATTAAATTCTATTTTTAAATATTTATTTATTATTTTTTTAAATTTTTTTTTAAATAAAAAATTTTTTAATGAACTTATTCTACTGATTTTTATAACTAAAATTAGAGCAAAAAGGAAATTATAGAAATTACAAAACTAGCAAGTAAAAGCATAGTTGTCAACTAAGCAAAATTAAAACTAGTAAAAATTAGATATAGTTTGTTAGAATAATAGACTAAGTTAATAGCAGTATAGTAGTTACTTTTAACTTTTAAAGTAAATTTTGTTCTTTGTTTAAAATTTTTGATAAAAAATGAAAAAAATACAAAATCTCTATATAGCAGATCATATATGTAATATATAAAGCAAGTTAGAGTAAACAGTTAATACAACAAACCAATAAACAGATATGCAATCTTAAGATAAACAAATAAATACAAGTATAAATAGTAAATCATATGCCAAATATGTTTAATAAAAAAATAAAAATAACGCAAAGAAGTATGATATAAAAGATTTAACTAATATTTATAAAAATTAACTTGTACAAGAAATTAAAAAAGTATTATAATATGTTTAATAAATCCAACAAAGACAAAAAGAAATATTAGATAGTCACAAATTAAGAGTTTTAAGAAAAGATAAGAAATTGGCTAAACTGGTTGGCACTGAGATAGTTTTAGTTTGTATTTTTAGAAACTTAATAGAAATATATAATTACTATAAGTATATATATTATATGTCACTTTGGAATTTATGTCAATTCCGAATTAATATAAGTTGTTTTGGAATTATAATTTAACATATGTTATATTATAATCGGTATGATATAATGTTTATGATACTGATCATAAAAAAAACAATAATAATTATATTTATAGAAAAATTGCATTTATAGAAAAGATTAAAATTCGTAAAAAAAAAACAAGCACTATAAATTATACTTATAAATAAATATATATTAAGCAGCATTTATATTCATACGCAGCGATAATGCATAATAATTAAGAAAAATAATCTATCAATACTAGTGCTTATTGCATTCACCTTGTAATACACATCCACAACGCCTTGTGTATAGTTTGTTATTTTTACGACATGAACAGCTCTTAGTTTTGCAGTTTGTTCTGTTGCAACTGCAGTTACTTTTGAATTTCTTATTTTTTACTTGTTCAATTGCTTGTTTGGTTGTTTGTTCAGCTGCTTGATCTTGAATTGTTGGTTTTTTTTTTTTTGCATGTAATGGTCATGTTAAATTTTGCTGTGTTGCAACATTTCTTAAAGAGATAAAAGCACCAAGTGGAATAATATCGAGTGCTAGATATTCATTGGTACCTAGTGGTTCTAGTTCATTTGCAGGGTACCACTTATCTAAGATTCCAAATTCACATTCAACCTGATATGAATCGTGATTGGGTTTTTTTGGGATAATCTTACAAGGTAATGCACATCGATCAATTCTTTGCTTGTCAATATTGGGAACTCTAATTTTCACAAAATCACCTAGATTTAAATTTAATAAACGTTTAGTTTTATGCTGTTTTTCCATGATATTTCAAATTACTTGTCGATTTTTTTTGACATGTTGTATTGCAGCATCCCTTAATGATTTGTGGTTATTAAAGCTTGCACAGGATAAACTTTCAATAGGCAAAGAATTTGCTTGAGATAATAAATCGTTATTGAAGCTTGTCTGGAATAAACTTTCATTTGACGAAGAACTTGTTTGAGATAATAAATCTTCAGCTGGCATATTATTTGAAGACAAATCTTCATATAGTGTATCAGTATCAGTATAGCTTGCTTGAGACATTCTTTCTAAAAATACATCATCATTACTAAGATTTTCATCTTCAAGATCTATAGCATCAAATCGATACAATGAATTCTAATATATAGATTTATTAGTATAATAAATTATTAAATTTTATATAACATCTAAATAAATAAATAAATTTAAAGTATATAATAATACTTGTTCTAAATTTATAAAGTTACTATTATCATTATCTGATACATGCTATTTTTCTTTTTTAGTCCAGGAATATCTACTTTTAATATCGTATTCTAAATTTTCTTTATTACTATCGCTATCATTAATTATAATAACTTTAAATTTGATTATAAAAAAAAAATAAATAAAAAGTAAATATAATTAATAAATTATGCAAGACATATTTATTAATACCATCATCATCAATTATATTTGATTGAACTTCAATATAGTTTTCCATTAATGAAGAACTTCGCTCTAAAAAATTTGCAATAAGATTAATAAATTAATATGTTGTTGCAATATATAAATTATATATGATATATTTATTAATACCATTGACATCAATTATATTTGATTGAACTTCAACATAGTTTTCTTTTAATGGAGAACTTTGCTCTAAAAAATTTGCAAAAAGATTAATAAATTAAGATGTTGTTACAATATATAAATTATACAAGACATATTTATTAATACCATCGTCATCAATTATATTTGATTGAACTTCAATATAGTTTTCTATTAATAGAGAATTTCGCTCTAAAAAATTTGCAATAAGATCAATAAATTAATATATCATTGCAATATATAAATAATTTTATTTGAATGACTTTTCTAAGTTTGAATTAATAATTATTAAATTATTAAATCGTTTATTTATATCATTATTTGTAATTAAATTAGTTTGATTATTTAATTAATTTTCTAATAGGATGTCTTCTTCTCAAATTATGTTTTGTTGATAAAGCATTGAAATTATCGATAATTCTGCATGTGGTTCTTGCCCAAAAACAAGTTTATATGGTGTAGATTTCGTTGATTTACATACTTGGCTATTCATCAGCCCTAAAATATTTATTTAACATAATTAAACACAGTATATATATAAATAATATTATATAAATACAAAATAATATACAAAAATATATAATTTTAAACTATATAAATTACAAATAATAAATAGCAATCCAACGCTCCAATCTTTTCGATTTGTTTCTTTTATTCATGCATCAAGCTTTGTTTGGAGTATATCATTACTCTTCTCAACGGACCCTTGACATTGAGGATATCTTGGCCTTCTATGTATAAATTTAACTAATGGCCAGAGTCTTATAGTTTCTTTTACAACTTTACCAACGAACTCCCTACCATTATCAGAATGTAAAATTGCGGGTGGTCTATAGGTTAAACAAAACTGCAAGAGAAAACTTGCAGCCTCTTCTGCAGATCTTGTTATAGTAGGCTGAGCAGCTGAAAATCGAGTAAAGTAATCTCGAATATGTATAATATAATTAAATTCTCCATCTGGCACTATCATCATACTTATTGTGTCAATCTTAAAAATTATTTATTAAATTTTAGTTTAAAAAATTTTATATTTTAAATTGTTATATAAATTCCTACTTGAACATGAGCAAGGTATTTTTCCACAATAATTGGTCTCATGGCAGGTACTCGTTTGCTTACACGTCGAGTAATATATATATTACATTGCTTTACAGCATTCTCTACAATTGTTTGAGGTATAAAACAATATCTTTGCCAAATCTATAAATTATATAGTTATTATTATTAATAATAATAAATTTTTTTATTAATTTAAATAATAAAATATTACTTTTAGCCATGTTTTTTCTTGGCCTCCATGTTCCATGTCTTGATGTGCTTGACAGATTACAACATAGAAATTTTCAATAGGACACACTTGTGTACCATGACCATTATTTTCTGTTTTAATATTTAGCTCCTCAACTGTCCCGACTTTAACTATTGTAAAGGTATGAAGAACCCAATATTTAAATTTTGGATTCTCATGTGTACTTGAAGGATTTCGTAATAGTGTTAAGCAATGATTATATTTTAAATGATTCATTATGTGTCTTTCATTTTTACGACCATCCATATAATTATTAGCTACTTGTTCAAAAGTTTAAGATGAAATAAATGGATAAATAGGTAAATTATTTAAGCCATGTTGAAAAGCAAAAGATCGTTAAATTATTTTTATTTATTTATATATTTTTGTAACCTTGTAGTTTATGCAATTTAAAAGTTTCTTATATTGACATTTTAGTTTTCTTTTCTCTATGGTTCTAATTGATCTTATTGTGATTATTCTTTAAACTATCATTTACTTCAATCATACTGTGATATAGACTACAATTGAATATAATTTGATAGCTTAATCACAGATCAATCTGCCTGCAAAATGATACAGATGTAAACTTGTGATCTCGCTTAGTTATGTCAATTTAAAACAGTGCTACATAGTTAATAAAAGAAAACACATCGTATCGTAATTAATGATGTAAATAAGATTACTTCTATAATTGTAACTAATAAAAATAGATGTTGGGGCAAAATTAAATCATCAGTTTAAAGTGACATATGTCATGTTCCGATCAGTATAAATTTTAAAATAACATATGTCAATTTAAGACCGACATAAGTTATGAATCGACATATAACATATATAAGTAAAAAATAATAAAAAACTAAAGAAAAATAGTGTTAAGCAATTAAATAAAAACAAAATGAATAAAAAAATATTATTAGAACAAGAATGTGACTATATAGATTATATTATACTAAAGAAGCAAACAGAAAAGAGTTTAGTAAGAATAAATAAAAAGAAAAGTAAAAGTAAAATAAAAGAATATAATTAGCTAAAGAATACAGCCAGTAGTATGAAGATAAATAAAAAGTATGAGATGACAAAGAAGAAGTAGAATACAAAAAAGAAAGAAAATTTATAATGATTAAGAATGTAGAACAGATGCATGAAAAACAAGTAAAAGAACAAAGTTATATGAAAGAGACAATAATATTGCATAAAAATATAAAGTTAAAAGACAATATCTATACAACATAGAATATTTTAGCAGAAATATGACTAGTATGAATAAGAAAGTGTTTTCAGTTTATGATAGAATTAGGTTTATTCAATAGAAAAGTTGTAGTAATAGCAAAGCTGCAACATTTGCTATGAAATTTAGAAACAAGAACAGAAAATCAATACTTGATCAAGCATAGTTAGTGCATTTTGAAGAAGGCAAAACTTATAGAATTACTTCAGATACTTTTGCAAAAGAGTTTTTAGAAAATAGAGCATCACATAAGGCAGTAATCAAAAATGTTCTAACAATAGCAATAGAGAAACTATTATTATTTTTTTTTTAACTTAAGCAGTCATGCTAGTACTTTATTAGAATTCTTGAAACTATACAAATTACAGAGAATTTTTC